TGTTGTTGATGTCCTTATTGTTGTTGCTGTTGTTGAAGTACTTGTTGCTATTGCTCCTCGTGATCTTTAGGTTTGGAATACTGACTGTTGTTATTCCTCATAGTATTAGCAATATTATTATTATTGTATAGTCCTAGTACACGTATTTGCTTTCTAGGCTTTCCTAGACCACTACAATTGAACATGGACGCTAAGCCGGAGATCCCATCTCTTAAATAACCGTATAAAATTTAGAGTGTCCATCAAACCCACGCGCTGGAGATGTAGACGTGGCAATATCTCCACCAGGTGGTGTCGCCATGTTGTGTCGGTCCTGGTCACTCTGACTGAGTGGTGTGCTGCCGGGAATGCCTTGGGCCACTCTCTCTCTCTCTCTCTCTCTCTCTCTCTCTCTCTCTCTCTCTCTCTCTCTCTCTCTCTCTCCAGGCTCTTACTCCTCACCGGCGATACTGTTGTTGTTGTCGTTTTCATTATTGTAAGTGACAAGTGACGTTGTTGTTGTTGTTGTTGTTGTTGCTGTTGTTGTTGTCGTTATTATTGTTGGTGACGATGCTGTTGTTGATTTTGTGGTTATTGTACTTTTACATCTTTAATTTTAAGTATTCAGGGGGAGGGGGCATTCATCGCTAGGACCATAGGCTCATCTCCTTGGCCTTGTCATCCACAGAGTGTCCACGGTACCGATTCCTTGTCCTTGTTCCCATTTCTCTGCTGCACAGTCTGGACATGGCTGGATGGTGCCTCTATAAATAGATTTTTGATGAGGGTGCCTCTATAAATAGATTATTGATGAAGGTGCCTCTATAAATAGATTATTGATGAGGGTGCCCATCTATGCTCGACGAGGAATTTATAATTGCTGTTTTTCTATTACTTCTATTCCTTTTGTCTCAGTAGTAAATATAGTGCTCAGATAGACACACTTCGGGGCAGTTCTAAAGCCGTGGACGGAGTCCCCCACTAGGACACTTGGCCCAGAGAAAATCTTTGGGAGGACAGAAACATTGAGCCCAAACTTAGAAGTGAACCTGTCAAG